CTAAACGGCGGTGAACCCGGGTGCAGATCAACAGCAGCGATTTATAACGACTGACTCATTCTTATCGCGGAAAATTATGCATGGACACCCGCTAGATTGCTTCGTTCTGTTATTTAAAAGACAATACCTTCGAGGACGTGTAATTTGCGGGGAAGGTCGGTGATTTACAGACGGAGCTGTTCGTGGTTTCGTTACGGCTGTTCCAACTCGTTGAATCGAGATCTTGGTGCATATTGTGATACGGTCGCCATTATTACTCGCTACGGTTTTCAGACATGATTGCGGCAATACGTATCGCCATTGCGGCGTGCAAAATTGGGGGTGACTGAGAGACAATATGGGAATAGGTGCGAGTACTGTGTTCTGATCAATTTTACCAGGCTCAATATTTACCTATGATACAATGGGAACTATAACGAGTTAATCGTTGCTTCGAAGTGGTGGAATTTTTGAAGATTTTAAGCACGTTTCTGAGGACTCTAATAATAATTTACGTAAGATCGAGATTTGGGTGGATTGACTAAGATAGTGTCGTTAGCTTCTTGATAGAAGAAAATAAGCTTATACATAGAATATTGGCTATGGAACAAGAGAGATTCGCTATGGGCTCGCTCTTCTGATTTTTCTTAGACCGACTTAGACTTCTTACTGACACACTGGCATACTCTTAACCCTAGATTTACGGAACTCGTCAATTTAATGGAAGGGTTGCTCCAATTATACGATGGTAACAGATGTAGTTAACTTATATTAGGATAAGATATATTAGTTAACTTATGTTAATATAATATATAATTGTTTTTAAGTTAAACTAATCCTTAAAAAAGAGACACGTGGTTTCCTTTACCTGTCAATTTGACAGGTGTCCTTAGAAATAGGTATACAGATAGCCTCCGTAAACCTAGTGTTAAAGACACTTAGAGACTCCTGGAGACTGACTGTCCGTGCCCTTGCACCCTTATTTAGCATTTATCAGTTATTCTGAGTAAAGCAGTCGTCCAGATAAGACTTTTTTTTAATTAAACCATTCATTCTGTCCTCTTTCATACTTAGGCTTTCTTTCCCAATCATTCCCCTTTCCCGCGTAACCTCGGTGGGCCAGGTACTTCGACTACTCGGACACATCCCTAAACTTTCACTCGACTCTAGCATAAATATTCTTTGCAGTCAACCCTCTTGCACATGGTCACTTTGGTTCTAAGCTCAGACACTCTTGACATTCTTTCAGGGCCGTACTTATCCCAATCCTACATTTATGTTATACAAGTACTCTTCTGCAGATGGTGTTTTATTGTACGTATTAAATATAGAATTGCAGCATTCGAAATTGCATTGTGAAATTGGATTTTAATTTCTGCGTTGCAATGAAAGGTACTCGAGTCAACCTCAATGGAATATCAATAACATCGATGCGCAAAAACTGCTGCCGTAAATGGATCCGCAAACACTGTAGGGCTTTTAGGAAGGAACCATCTTCGATAGAATTAAACGAGGTAATTGACGCAGAAATGTATCGAGACATAAGTTTTTAGGAAAAATGAGCTCATTTTCGTACCACGACGCGCTGTGCACGGAACAATGCCGCTGAATCCGTTATTTTATTCATGACTGTTTGCGAATTATCACGGGTATTTAAATTCGCGCGAACTCGTTCCATATTTTAACAATCGATAACATAAAAAGGCGAAAATGTAAAAATATGAAAGACCGATAAGGCGTAAAATTAACTTTCACAAACGTTTATACTTTGACATTATAGAGCTGTAGAGCAACGTAGACGTAACTTTTATAAAGATACTAATAATATTCGCGCATTATTTCGTCCCGTTAGAAACGTACTGTAATATTTCGTAATATTCTGTATTTTTGTTGCTCATTTCATATTCATCAGAGACAGATAAAAACAGAAAACGATGTATCTTCTGTAATAACCAGGTTCCAAGATTATTTTTACATCGAAGCCAAACTTTCCAGATTATGCGTGTCTTATTAGTAATAACAGAACTGTTGCGCGCTGTCAAATCAAATTTAACTGACGGAAATAGTTTCTTTTAGATCACATTTTAAGTAGGATGTCAAATCGCAAATAGCATAGAAATGAATTCTATCGCGAAGCCGATTGCGAAAGAAATTCTAATTAAAATGTCACCTTGTATCACCGTTACAACGATAAATTATTCAATTTTATCAACTGTTGTTCTTTGATTTCGCCATCGTCATAAGAATCGGTCAACGATAGAACCTCATCTCGTGAAAAGTTGACCACATTTGCCTGTTGACAGTGTGCCGTTTGTGAGGTCAAAATTCAGAGCAAAGAAACGATCGTGCGATCGGCAAATATTTAGCCTTGACAAGCTTCCTTGCAAATTGCTTGCCGTGATTCATCTTCTGGGTTGCCGACATCAAGCAGCTCCCCCAGGGGAAATGCTCCAGACATTACTCCGTTTATCAAGGTAAAGGAAAAATACAATACCAGGAGTCTTGAGAATTATGTTGTTATCATCGTTATTATTTTTACTCGTTTCTGGAAAAGTAGATTTAATAAGCAGATTTATTAACATTAGATTTACGGAAGCAATTTGGTGTCAAATTTCTTGGTGTCAAATTTGTTATGGACGAGACAAACCAAAGTTAGATTCTTTCATAGTTTGAAATTCTATTAGAAATTTGACAGAAGTGAAGCAATTTGGTGTCAAATTTCTTGGTGTCAAATTTGTTATGGACGAGACAAACCAAAGTTAGGTTCTTTCATAGTTTGAAATTCTATTAGAAATTTGACAGTGGTTGCTCCAATTATACGATGGTAACAGATGTAGTTAACTTATACTAAGATAAGATATATTAGTTAACTTATGTCAATATAATATATAATTGTTTTTAAATTAAACTAATCGTTAAAAAAGAAGGCACGTGGTTTCCTTTACCTGTCAATTTGACAGATGCCCTTAGAAATAAGTATACAGATAGCGTCTGTAAACGTAGTGTTAAGTCACGCATAAAGAAAATGTTAATTATAGGGATTTCAATTTTTCTGGCGCATGTCATATTATATGTTATTCGATTAAATAAATGTTATAAACTAGTCTATTTTGTTATTCCCTATAAAGTCCACTATAGAATCCAATAGCTATGAAGATCGGTTGAATTATAACCATTGTTACATGCGTTAATGTCATGAAGCATCGTAATGTATAATTTCTTCATTATCGATTCGTGATTAATCTTTTCATAATTGGCTATTAGGCTTAATAGATTTGTTTCAGCACTTCTGCTATACGTTGTTTCGTAGACACCTTAATTACAGCTGAAATTTTGCTTCCATCCAATAATTCTGGGTTAACGTACTCGATAAATATATCTTCATCGTTGATGCATAAGCGTGGTGCAATATTGTCTGCTGCAGGAAAAGTTTGCAGGTACGGCTTTAAGCTTTTATAGCTCCGAAATACATAGCATGATCTGTGGCTTGAACCGTATTTTTTACATTATTACAGGACTTTGGTCTCTTCCACCTTGATATGACAAACTGTGCATTAATTTGGTAAAAGGAATTAAGTGTCCGTTTAATTTATATATTTTTTATATTCACATAGACGTAATCATGATTTTTTTCAATCACTCATAGTATTCAAGAAGTTATAATAATTTTATTGTAACATACACTCGTAGGTTTTATATTTTAATATTTATATTTTTATATTTACATTATATTTATATTTTCATATTTTTATATTTACATACTACAAGGCTTTTTAAAATGAGAATTTATTAATAGTAATTTCATAAAAATAAATTTTTCTTAAATCGTACCTATTTCCAGGACACCGAGTATAACAATTAGCATTATGAAACGAATGGGTGAACATTTGTCAACTTTAAAACGTGCGAAATGACTAACACGAAACTATACTTTGCATAATTCGCATTCTTGTTTTTCATTCATGAAAGCAGTAGTAGCAGTATAAATTGATCGATAATATTGTTTCATGCTTCGTATGCTTTTAGTTATAAAATTAAAGAATTTTTAATTTTCCAGTTATCGTTTGTATCACGAAGGTAAATTGATAGACTGATTTTTAATCAGAAAAATGATCGTGTTGTTAATTTATCGATAAGCAGACCTACAGAATTATATAATGCACAATCATCTTGACAGTAACTACGCAGAGAAGAATTCTAAGATTAAAAATTGTGAACGATTTTCTCATTTCTAGACGCACAAATATTTAAACAATCAAGTACTCGAATGATCTAAATTTTAAAATCCAATTGTAATTATTACGTTAATCTTACATATTATTAGTACAATAATATTATTAAGTACGATTATTGATCAGAAATTTCATTACCAGTGTTTAAATCTCTACACCTAGTTATTTTCTTGACATTTGTCCTTCCTAGTCATTTGTTTAATTGGTTACATAAAAACTAACAAAAACAAAAAAAAATAGAAGAACAAAAAAAAATTATGCAATCATGAATTTAAATGTTATAATTTACATACTGCATAAGTACTAAAAGCATATTTATGAAGAAATACGTAATCTAATTCATTAATTTTCTATTTTCCAAGTATTTTTACCAATACGTAAATCAAATTTTGAATTTCTTAAAAAGAAGTTCAATACCTAATCACTTTTTTAATTTTCATACGCAACCAAAATTCATTATCGACTCATTCTCGTTTTAGAGACTTCTAAAAGTAATTATGGATAAAATTGCAAGGAAAAAAGGAATTGAATGAAATTTGAAAAACTTAACATTAATGATTCGCTTTACTTGCAACATTTTATGCTATGTCACTCTGGTAAATCTTTACCGGAACTTATGGTCTGGTAATGTATTATTTTGAAGTGATTAACTATCAGCCGGTAACACGAACTTGGTTCTGCATTAACCTAGAGTGGTAAGTAGGCAGATCATCACGGTCTACCCCCACCACATGCCACGTGGTTCACCGACTCGCGAGATATCTATCTTATACAACGCTTACAGCCTGCTACTGCTTCAGTTTGGGTTGTCGATCGTTGGACGTAAATTTATTTGTAACATGACGAGTGAGAATATTGTGGTACGCGTGAAGCAGGGTCATTTACGTGGATCCATCGAGCAGAACGATTATGGAAATGAATATATGGTGTTTCGCGGTATTCCATTTGCAAAACCACCGGTTGGTCCGCTTCGATTCAAGGTGAATTTCTCGCGGAACAATCGTTCGTAGCGACTGCAACGAACGAGAAGTTCCGTTATACGTTTACGAGACGACGATCCGGAATCATGATTTTTAGAATTTTCATTGGTTGACTAACTTCTTGGTGTCAAATTTGTTATGGACGAGACAAACTAAAGTTAGGTTCTTTCATAGTTTGAAATTCTATTAGAAATTTGCTGATGGGGCATATTCAACAATATATGAAAGAAGGTAAGAATTGTCAAAAGATAAAGTTTGCGAGGATAACTCGTTGAAAATGTACAGTATAATTCTTGGCACCGAATATAGTGACGCGACTATGGAAAACGGATCAAAATAATCCATGACGTAGATATATATGTATATTTTCTAATATTTACGTCTGGATTTTTTAATTTTTCAAAGATGGAAAGATACAATGGATTAATGATAAAATCGCGAAGATAAATAAAAAATAAGGAAAGGGATTTATAATTCATTATCGCCAAGATAAAAACACTTGGTTATCTTGTTAATTTAAAGCTTGTTATCTTTGATAAAATGATATTTAATAGAATCCAATCTTCACAGACATTTGTAAAAAATTGTACGAAAATGAAATATCTCTGACAATTAGTAGTTTCTTTCACGAATTATATAACAAATTATACCCGGGCAAATATTTTTCAAAAAAGATTAACCAGATAGAATTGAAATATTAATTGCGATTCAACGACGTAATTATTGACAAGTGGTAAATTCGTGCAACGTGTGTATGTGCATAAAAATGACAGGAATTTTGATCGCGATAGTTTTAAAATAAATGTACAAATCTAATTTATGATCTAATTACTTTTTTCTCATTTTCGTTTTCTAGTTTTTGTCACTCTCAGTTGAAATAATTGCATTTATTTCTGATGATTTGTAGAAGTCCCAAAAAATCGTGTCACCTGATAACTTAAAATATTCGACGATAATTGAATGTATTTACTAGCTAATACAACGATGACTAATATAATTAATGGAACAAAGTTTTTTACCCTACAGTTTAATTTAAAATTAAATTATATTCACCGCATTCACAGAATACCATGAATAATATAATTTGCGAGATAGAAAGTTCTTTTTCGATTATATCTAATCTTCCAGACGAGCTTCCGATATTTATCACATTTGAACTTTAGCATAATTTCTGACAACCGGATATTCGATGGACTTAATTTCTCATAAGGGCAAATTCTTTTGCAGAGTAGATTTGGCAAAACTTTCTCAGACAAAAATCAGCATTAAGTTCTCCTATTTCACGGAGGTATACGATCAGATGACTTAATAACAATAGTTTAACAGCAACAGGTTATCGCCATTGATAAAACGTTCAAGCTAATGCAGCTTGAACAAAGCGAAAATCAAGATGATAGCCTTGAGGATAGTCTAGCAAACGTGAACGTTTGACAATGTACACGCATATATACATGTATAACATCAAATGCGGGGGTTAGGTTAGGTTAGGTACCATACAGTGGAACGTATTGTATGCAGTGAACCTTTGCAAAACTGTCACGTTTGTCGTTAGTAAAGGAATAGCGAAGATTTTGATAGATGCTGGGTTTTCTGGGTGACCAAACCTTGCGATGAAGAGTCGGTATCGAGAATACTCCAATGATCCTAGAAATCCTATGCATTGTAGGATTTATCGTTATTTATGGTTCCTCGAGAACACTCATAATCGTGGAATCATATTTTCGATACATTTTGACATCTCGATAATTCCTTATAAAAATAACATTTTGTTTTTAAGATAATTTAATCTCTTGGACGATCTATCTTCCTATCTGATGAACGGTTTTATATTCGTTGATTACCTTTTATACGTATCAGAATCTACAGAAGTAATTTCATTCTTTAAAGGAACACCGGAGAAAAAGTACATGCCTGATCCATGATATATGCTTTTATAATTTATTTCAACATGCGATAAACAAAAAGGAAACTATAACATATTCCCTAGGCATTGACGTTCGAACGTTTCAATTGTTTGGAAACAAACAAAATGGCAGCCATTTATAGTTGATGTATCGAATTTTTACGAAAAATTTCTACATGTTTTTGTTAATATCTCTTAAAATTGTTGACAATTTAAAAAAATCGTACACTAATGCTTAATAAATGTTATAATAAAGATATCTCCAAAATTTCATTATATAATCGGTGCATTAGATCTCGAGATATATGTATACCGTTGCCAGGCATGTAATTTCACGGAAAACTGATTTAAATTCTTAATTTTTTACTAATATATTATTTCCGCTTTGTACATATGCAGGAATG